ATCAAAAATTGGTCAGCACCAGGTGAAGATGAACTGCATGGGTTTTGGTTGAAACATCTAACTGTTATACACCCACTCATTGCCAAACAGTTCAACAATATACTACAAGGAGGAGAAATTGAAAAGTGGCTAACAACTGGGAAAACCTACCTAATAATGAAAAATCCAGCAAAAGGGGCAACACCAGGTAACTACAGGCCAATTACCTGCTTACCAACAACTTTCAAATTACTAACTGGTGTGGTAGCTGATGCAGTACAACAGCATCTAGTTGAAAACAATCTCTTTCCACCTGAGCAGAAAGGAAACCGCCCCAATAGCAGAGGAACAAAAGATCAACTCCTAATAGACAAAATGATCTTGGAAAACTGCAAGAGAAGGAAGACCAACCTGAATGTGGCATGGATTGATTACAAAAAGGCATTTGACTCTCTGCCACATGATTGGATAATAAAGTGCCTAGAAATAACAGGAGTCAGTAGAAACATCAGAAAATTTGTGCAAAGATCGATGGCACAATGGAAGACACAGTTGCAGGTCAATGGTGAGAGGCTGGGAGAGGTTAATATCAAGAGAGGAATATTTCAAGGAGATTCATTATCACCATTACTATTTGTTATTGCACTGTTTCCTCTGTCAACAATACTGAATAACTCAGGACATGGCTATCAAACATCAAAAACATCTGCCAGACTATCCCACCTCCTTTATATGGATGATCTGAAGCTGTATGGAAAAACATCATCTGAAATAGAATCGCTGCTCAACACTGTCCGTATATATAGCCAAGATATTGTAATGGAGTTTGGCTTGGACAAATGTGCCACACTTACTATCAAACAAGGAAAAATATGAAAACTGAAGGAATCAAGATGCCCCACGAAAATAACATTAAGAGTCTGGATGAGGAAGAGTACTACAAATACTTGGGTATCCTTCAAGCTGACAACATCAAGCACACTGAAGTCAAGAAAAAGATTAGAGGTGAATACATCAAGAGAGTGAAGAAGATCTTAAAATCCAAACTCAATGGAGGAAATACCATAAAGGCAATCAACACCTGGGCAATCCCAGTCATTAGGTACACAGCTGGAATAGTGGACTGGACTCAAGCAGAACTAAAAGCAATGGATAGGCAGACCAGAAAAATAATGACAATGAATCATGCCCTTCATCCACGCAGTGACATTGATAGACTTTATCTACCAAGGCAAATAGGTGGGCGTGGAATGCTACAAGTACATCAGATGGTTGAAGAAGAAAAAATGGCTTTGGAAGAATATCTGAAGAACAATGATGAAGATGCACTGAAATTAGTATATCAGGAAGGCTTACTAACTACTGGAGAGACCAAACTGGCCTACAAGAAAGACCAAATGAAGAACAGAATAGAGGCATGGGAAGACAAAGCACTACATGGCCAATACATGAAAAAAATAGCTGGGAAAGCAGATAATAATAAAACCTGGCAATGGCTAAGAGCAGGAAAATTGAAGAAAGAGACCGAGGGACTAATTCTGGCTGCACAAGACCAAGCTTAAGGACAAATGCATACAAAGTCAAAATTGAGAAGACAGCAACAGACAGTAAGTGCCGCCTATGCAAAGAAGCTGAAGAAACAGTGGACCACTTGGTAAGCTGTTGCAAGAAGATTGCACAGACTGATTACAAGCAGCGGCATGACAAAGTAGCAACAATGGTGCATTGGAAGATCTGCAAAAAATATCATTTGCCTGTAAGCAAAAACTGGTGGGATCATAAAATAGAGAAAGTCATAGAAAATGATAAAATTAAACTGCTCTGGGACTTCAGAATTCAAACAGACAAGCACCTGCAACATAACACCCCAGACTTAACAATTGTCGATAAGAAAGACAAAAAAGTCTGGATAGTGGACGTGGCAGTGCCTGGAGATAGCAGAATAGAAGAGAAAGAACTGGAGAAGATAACAAAATACAAAGACCTACAAATAGAAATAGAAAGACTGTGGCAAAAGCAAGCAAGGGTAGTACCAATAGTCATAGGCTCCTTGGGTGCAATCCCAAAACAACTGGAGCACCACTTGAACACCATTGGCATTGACAAATTCGCTATTAGTCAATTGCAAAAGGCGGCCTTATTAGGAACTGCTTCCATCCTGCGACGATATCTGTAATACCATCAAACATCCACATCTGCCTATCCCAGGTCCTGGGTAAGGACTCGATAGGTGGACAAAATGCCAAATCCAGTCTGAACATCTGGCTGACTGTGTGATGATCAATAATAATAATAATAATAATAATAATAATAATAATAATAATAATAATAATAGGGTCATCAAGTCCAATCCCCTGCTCAGGCCGGAAACCCTATATCATTTCGGACAAATGGCTGTCCAGTCTCTTCTTAAAAACTTTCAGTGCTGGAGCATTCACTGCTTCTGGAGGCAGGTTGTTCCACTGGTTAATTGTTCTAACTGTCAGGAAGTTTCTCCTTAGTTCTAGGTTGCTTCTCTCCTTGATTAGTTTCTTGGCATCTGAGATGCATTACTATTGAGTTTGGTCTTTCTGATGGAATGGGTGGTACAAAAAAGCATTGGGGTCACATGCATTCCTTATTTCTGCACTTGGCAAAGGAACAGTTCCAGACTCATTAGCTGAAACTTAGTTACTTCTTAGTCTCTTCATTTGTGCTGTCTTCTATAATTCATTATCTCAGTGGATTTTTTCCCCCTGAAGTTACAGAAAGAGTGCAACCTTTGGTGAGGCTTAAAGACAGGTATTCTGCTAAAAGCAGGAGATGCAGTCCTTTTATATGACTAATGTAGGTAATAAGTAATGCTTATAAGTGAAGGAACCATTGGTACCCTCAATTTTCTTCTTTTCCCCCTTATCTCAGATTTTTGGAGACCAGCTAAAGATATGGAGACAATAGACTCTTGTTTCTTCTGTTGTGTGATTGCCAGATCTGACAATAGGAGAATGAGGACGATTTGTCCTTCAGATCAAGGAAACCCAAGGAATCCGTTTTCCGCCTTTGTTGTCTGAGCTATTTAAAATATTCAGGAATCTATCTGACTATAGTTCTATCAATTTTTTCCTGTACCACTTCATCCAACATACAAATACTTAAAGTGCTAACATGATGGTTTGTGTGAGTTGTAAACACAAGATAGGAGTAACATTTTAGAATAACTATGTTTTGCATTTGTATTCCTTCATTTAATTTTGCATAATATGGGGATGAGAAATTAAACTGAAAAATATATTGGAATCGCAAAGAATGGAAAGTTATGCATTTGAGTTTATATTGAGTAAAAACTTCTGTAGGAGACTTCCTTCCTTCCTTCCTTCCTTCCTTCCTTCCTTCCTTCCTTCCTTCCTTCCTTCCCTCCTTTCTTCCTTCCTTCCCTTTTCAATATAAATATTAATTTAACTACTCTTCCCCCTAATGGTAGTAAATGGAGAGTTACTGTTTCATAACATAGAGCAGTGATGGCGAACCTTTTAGAGACTGAGTGCCCAAACTACAAGTCAAAACCCACTTATGCATCATTGAGTGCCAGGTGGGTATGGTCCATTGGTTGGGCGTGGCCCATTGGCTGGGCGTGGCTACAGTGGTAACAGCAGACTGAGTGGGACTAAAAAGTTCAATCAGTCAATTCCAACTTTGCAAGATCTTTTTTTTTCCCCGCGAGAAGTTGAAATTGACCAATTGAACCTTTTTTTTTTTTTTGCACATGGCGGTGGAGGCCTAAAGCGAAAAGGTTTTATAAAACCCAGCTGAAGGCCTAAGACTGGGGCGATGGCGTGCGTCCATGCATGCCCACAGAGATGGCTCGGAGTGCTGCTTCTGGCATCCGTGCCATAGGTTCGCCACCACTGGCATAGAGGAAGCTTCTTTGTCAAACTTGAAATATTCACTTAGTTATGGATCTATGTGGGTGTTAAAACCTATTTTTCTTTGTGTATTTTGGTATGGATTTCTTTATATAGATTCACTGTCATATAATAAGTTCACAACTCATCAGTCAGTTTCTTTAAATGGCTATAATTTATCTAAATGACCATCTTCCTTGAACTTGATGCACATTTGGAATTTATCATTGATTATTTTTGAACAGGGAGTACTTTAGCTTGTTTTTCACTTGGGGAAAATAGATATTGAAACTAAGACACCATTTTTTAGGGATATCATGCCTGAATTTATTTCTTTGCTATAGATCAGCGGTTCTCAACCTGTGGGTCGCGACCCCATTTGGGGTCGAACGACCATTTCACAGGGGTCGCCAAACAACACGATCTGCCATTTTTTTTGTCAGCCGGCGCAGGGGGCGCCGCCGCGCATGCGCGCCGCGCAGGGGGTGCCGCAAGGGGCGCCGCCACGCATGCGCGCTATGCAGGGGCGGTGCAGGAGGCGCCGCCATGCATGCGTGCTGTGCAGGGGGCGGTGCATGGGGGCGCCGCCGCGCATGCGTGCCGTGCAGGGGCGGCGGCACGCATGCGTGCTGTGTAGGGGGTGCCGCCGTGCATGCGTGCTGCGCAGGAGGTGGCACGCACGCATGCGTGCCGCGCAGGGGGTGGCGCCGCGCATGCGCGCCGCCTGCTTATGACCGGGGTCGCCATATAAAAAGGTTGAGAACCACTGCTATAGATAAATGTAAAATGACCAATATGTTGGTCATTTATGGTTATTTCTACATGTAAAGCAAATGTGATGTTTTATAAAATAATTATACGGAAAAAAAACTTAAAACAGCTTTAGAACAGGGATGCAATTTGTGACTTCATGATTTGAAGATGTCTTCAGATGTATTTCTGCAAATATATGCCATGAACTTTATTACAGCAATTTTGACGTTTTACTAACAAAGCAAGAAAGGAGACAGCATGTAAATTTTCAACCTACATGTGCCTTTTGTATTCCTGGAGCAGCTGGTATTTGGGAGGGATTGGTTCTATGGATAGTTCTACACTTCTTTGTATACATGATTTTTTTACATTTCAATATTGTTTTAGGAACTCTTGAAGATGACTTCTACATGATCTGCTAGTGATACTGAAGAAGCAAGGAATTGCTGGATTAGATCAATTGCAATGGAGAAGTCCACTGAAGAGACATCAGAGCTATCATTATTGTCCTGTGGTTTATTGGACTTCAAGCCTGCCCATCACAGCCATAGTGTATGGTGTTTCAAACAGAAAAAATATGTCAAATTGTATTAGGCTTATGTTGCTTCTTAGTCACCTGATCTGAAATTTGCAACGTAATTCCTTTTGTATAAAGGAGGAATGATGACTTTTTATAGTTTCTGTTTGATCCTCTTTGCATTTACTTGGAGTAGTTCTGCCTATGGACCAAATCAAAGGGCACAGAAGAAAGGAGACATTATTCTTGGAGGATTGTTTCCCATTCATTTTGGAGTGGCTGCTAAACACCAGGATCTGAAATCTAGGCCAGAATCAGTAGAATGCATAAGGTAAGTCCACATCACATCCCCCAAACTCACTCATCCTCCAGACTCACATGACAGAGACCTTAAAAGCTTTGTGATTTCTACTAGGTAATAGTTCTTTGGTTCAAAAAAAAAAAAAAAAAGCCACTTCCAGCCTTTTAGAGAAGGAACTGAAGTCTTATTACGTCTCCCACACCTTGTATAGGGGTTTTCTGAAGTATTTGATTGATCCCTTTCGAAGTAGCGCATTCAGTCAAATCTGGCTTTTATTTACTGAATTTGACAATATATGCAGATTTTCAAAACAGTATGTGGCTTACGAGATAAAATATAACTACATTTGATATAAAATGTTTGATTCAGCACAAAGGAATCTCCAATGAGGTTTGGTTACCCTTACAAAGCAGCTACGTGAAACCTCTCATTGGAGGGCGTTCTGTGTTTTGGGGGTGGCTGGTAGGAAGCCTGCTTCATGTTTGAGCCTTCCATCTCTAACCATTGGAATAGCGAGCAAAGCTTCTTAATAGTGGCTTCAGCTGGTTCGCGCCACTTCGGCAGAACCGATAGCTAATGTTTTGTTGCCCAGGCCCAGAATGGACTTCCAGAAGTGGCATCCACACAGAGAACCGGTTGTTCACATATTTGAATCCCACCGCTGAGTGGTTATATTCTTCATTCTTAACCCAGAAGGCACTTCTGTTGCTTTGATTGTAGGCAGGAGTATTTATGAAGTAGGTTGAAAAGAAGAGGCATCTCACCCCATGCACTTGTTTCTGTTTTGGTTCTTTTAAACCATTCCTGGTTTCTTTATCACTTTGCCTTTGGTTGATGTTGAATACCAGACTGGATCACAACAAAGACCCTCTCATTTATTTTTAACAATTTGTTTTACACGGGGTAAAACAGTGTAATCTCAGCATGGCTGGAGGAACAAGTAGAACTGAATCTCTCATTGCTGAGGAAAATGCTTCACTACCCTTGGAGAATCAGGTGTATGATTTGGGATTATTTACAGATTCCTTACCATCACTAGAGCAATTAATGATCTTCATGCCTGACAGTCTGCTTCTGGGCTTCCATTCCCCCCCCCCTAATTAATCTGTAACTCTAAATCTTGACTAAGTTACCTAAAAGATCCCTCCACATTTGCTTCTCTGGATCATCATGATGGCCTCACTTGTGGCTCTTCTCTACCAAATGAGGAAAGGGAGCCAATCAGCGAAGAAAGGATCTTTTCATGAGTGGCATCTTGTTTGTGGAAAGCCTCTCCAGAGATGTTCACCTGACACTTCCATTATGGCCTTATAGGTGCTGTGTGAAGACTTCATTTTCATAGACAAAAGAACTTGTGCTATTTTCTTAGGTTTTTTTTAATGTTTTGTGTTTGGTTAATATGCTTTAATTTATACACTGTCTAGAAACATTTAAGTACTGGAAAGCCTCCAAATATTATTTAAAAACCCCACATTAAATTGTACAGCAATCTATCCTGCAACCAGAGGTACGGTAATGATAATAAGTTATTCAGGTTTATAAAAATAAAAAAAGGATTGTAAAGAGCACCTTAATGGCATTTCCAGACTAAAGGAATGAATTTTGTAATAGGAAATGCAGTTCAGTGTAAACAAATGCAAAGTTGTGTAAATTGGATTAAAACCCTAATCTCTGCATGTGGGCTAATGAAGTCCAAGCTGTCAGTGACTAAGATACTTTCTGCACTAGTGATTTGCAAAATCTTATAACATTACTTAGCTGCAGTTGAAATAAAATAGCTTGTTTGCTTATAAGGCAGGACATAAAACAGGACTTAAGTCATAAAACAGGACATGAGTCTTAAATGCGTGTATTAGTTAGAAGGAGAACAAAAGGAAATGAAAAATGTCAAACCACAAGTTCATTTGTCGGTCGCACAAAAGTGTTAAGTTTGAAGCTCTGCTACAGCTAACCACATATGTCTTCATGTCTCATTTGCAACTAACCACAAGTATGTTACAGGAAGTTTAGACGCTATAGGTAGGAAAATTCACAGTTTAGGCAAGGTATGTTAGCTATGGAAAAGGGGGCTGTATGCTGTAAGGGGGCTGTGATTCAAAGCAACCAATCCATGCTATCAGTTATATTTCCGTGTTTTGTTGTTTCTGACAAGAATATATAAACTTGTGTTTTTTTTATATGAAGCTGTTCAGATGTGGCTACAAATATAGTGCTCTGAACCTTTGTGCAAAATAAACCAACTTCTTTTGATTCTGTGGTCTGAGTCCTGTGATTTTCTGAAATACTTAAGCTCTTAAATTTGGCATAATAGTTAGGTGATACTAGAAGATGTTATAAATAGAAATCACCTAAAAAAAAGTTGTTGGTGTTACAGTGTGTAAATATGCTGATATAATAAAAATGTCAACCCAATGTTTTGCTTGTTTAAAATTATGAATTCCATGCTAGGAATCCTAAAGATTGAAAATAAAACTACTAATATTGTAATCAAGGATCTGCAGTGATTTTGCTTCAGTTTTCCAATGTTTCATAACAGTCACACAGTCCTAGGAAAAGCTACAGACAGTTACTATGTTCATGCTTCTATAAGCACCTTTTGGAGACTGAATCTAAAGGATTATTCAAGCCTAACTGTAATTCCCTAAAATAAATATATAGTGGAAGACAGCATATATTTTTGGTCACCATGCCTCAAGGGAGGGGTGGCTCAGTGGTTAAGACACTGAGCTTGTCAGCTGGAAAGCTGTCAGCCTAGGTTGAGACCCAAGCATCATGTGACAGGATGAGTTCCTATCCTCGACCCAGCTCCTGCTAACCTAGCAGTTCGAAAGCATACAAATGTGAGTAGATAAATAGGTACCACTTTGGTGGGAAGGTAACAGTGCTCCGTGACATCATGCTGGCCAAATGATCGCTGAAATGTCTTCAGACGGTGCTGGTTCAATGACGGAGATGAGCGCTGCCTCCTATAGTTGTCGATGACTAGTGGAGTAAAATCCGCAAGGGAATACTTTAAAAACAGTCAAATTTTTGCTTAGAAGTTTTTAAAAGAAAATTAGATAAATTTATGTTAAAGTTACTAATTTTGATAGTCATATATTACCTCCTAAATTACAGGCAGGTTGCCATATAATGTCAATTCTGTGGGCAACTGTGGATGAAATTCTTCTATTATGCTTATGAGATTCCTGCGTCATTTGGCTGGTCATTGGGTGACACAGAATTTTAGACAAAATGGGCCTTAATATTCCAATAATATCGCATGTAATACCTCATGGACTGCCCAGTAAGTGAGATGTCATATAAATATTAAATACTTATTTCTGAAAAAAATTCATAGGACAATTCTGAATATGAATAAGAACAGTTTCTTGGCACAACATTCTAAACTGTGGAATGCGATCATTCAAAACAGGATATCTGGTTTACCTTTTAGTTAATAAGGATATGCTGTTACATTGTGTCAGTGGTTGCTGAGAAATCCAGGAAGAGGGAAAAAGAAAGAGAGAGAGAGAGCACTTGCCACTGTCCAAAATGCCCATTGTTCTGATCCAGCAGGGCTTTGTTTTGTAATCTATGTGGTACAGCTCCATGGTTGTCCATGGGAGGACCAAGGGTTCAAATTATGTTTGGCGCATTATTACCTCATCGCACATATGACGTGCACTCTGTAATTTATATCATTTTATTGACATAATGCAACTGATATAAATTGCATCATTTGCACAATATCATAACAATTGTCACTGTGATTTGTAATGGATGCCTATGTGAACCAGCCCTATTTTGGGTTAATTATTTTCAAATATGTAGTTACATTTCTCTTTGGAACTGCTCTTCCATTTATTTAGAAGCAGCATATTTTCCCGTTTCTCTCCTCTGACTCTATATGAAACATTGTGCTTATTTTGATTTCTCTTCCTTTTTTGTAGGTATAATTTCCGGGGTTTTCGCTGGTTGCAGGCAATGATCTTTGCCATTGAAGAGATTAATAACAGCCCAACTCTTCTTCCCAATATGACTCTTGGATACAGCAGTTTTGACACCTGCAACACAGTGTCTAAAGCTCTGGAAGCCACACTGAGTTTTGTAGCCCAAAACAAGATTGACTCTCTGAATCTGGATGAGTTTTGCAATTGCTCAGATCATATTCCCTCAACAATTGCAGTGGTGGGAGCAACAGGCTCTGGGATTTCCACAGCAGTTGCCAATCTTCTGGGTCTCTTTTATATACCTCAGGTGAGCATATGTTATCACTGTCCATTGTTAGAAATAAGATGGTCTTGAGTAGGTGAGCTTGTTAATTACAAAATGTTTCTACTGTTGCTATATCACGTTTCATCATCTCTTCAGTCAATCTCAACATATAATATAAAGTCTTAAAGAGCTAGTATAACATTTCCACATCTCCCCCTTTTTAAAAGATACCTAGTTTAAAATATCTCTTTTCCAATTACAGTATGAGCACCAACAGTATTCAACAAATCATCCCAGCAGTCTGTGCCCATATGTCTAAGTAGCCCTTAGATTCAAAGAGGCAACTCTACAACCCATTATAATCATAGGATAATTTCTCTATAACCTCTTTATTTTCTTATGCCCATATTAAATAGTATAATGCACATTGTGTATTTCCATCAGTCATAGCAATTAATTTTGCAGCTTCCTATTGAACTCTGATTCAGCATGTAACAACCATGATGACATATGATTCCATCTGGCCATTGGTTTTCTTTAATATCTTTTAAAAATTTATTGTTGTGGCTGCTGTTTTGGCCTTTTTAACAAGCTAGTTTGATTGGGTATTAAGCATTGATTATTTGATTAGGAATTGGTTATGTCTAGTCTAGTGAAAAGAAGGACTAGAGATGACATGATAGCAGTGTTCCAGTATTTGAGGGGCTGCCACAAAGAAGAGAGAGTCAACCTACTTTCCAAAGCACCAGAAGGCAAGACAAGAAGCAATGGATGGAAACTAATCAAGGAGAGAAACAACCTAGAACTAAGGAGAAATTTCCTGACAGTGAGAACAATCAACCAGTGGAACGGCTTGCCTTCAAAAGTTGTGGGTGCCCCATCACTGGAAGCTTTTAAGAAGAGACTTGACAGACACTTGTCTGGAATAGTATAGGCTCTCCTGCTTGAGCAATGAATTGGACTAGAACAGAGGTGTCAAACTCAATTTCATTGAGGGCTGCATCAGCATTGCGGTTGCCCTTGGGGGGGCTGGGTGGGTGTGGCCAGAGTGGGTGCACCCTACTGGGTGGGTGTGGATGGAGTGGGTGTAGCCTACTGGGTGGACGTGACCAGTTCTACATCATTCGCATCAAGGGTGCCTGTGGGGGCCTGGGCAGGAGTGGGACAGATCTGAGGGTCTCCGGCAAAAGGGGGTGGGACAGGGGCAAGTGCCAAGCCACGGTCCACTGGGGCAAAATTTGGCCACCCCAAAATTGTACATTGGCTCCCGGCTGACCCGGGCCAGGGCCAAGACAGCGGGGGCTATTCCCTCACTGCTTCCAGGATGGCTTTGCGGGCCACATGAAACCACTTCGCGGGCTGCATCCGGCCCCTGGGCCTTGTGTTTGACATGTCTGGACTAGAAGATCTCCAAGTTCTTTCCAACTCCGTTATTCTGTTTACTGATTGTGACTAAACTAGTTTGGATGCTGCTCAGATTTTAAATGCATGACCTGAAAATCAAAGACCATTATCTGATATAACAATGTGAAGTATCACATCTCTGGAGGGAAAATGCCTGAACTCAAAGAAAAGTCTATTGTGATAGTAATTGTCCTATCCAATAAATTAAAATAAATAATCTAGAATAAATTTTTTCACATCTTTCATTTTTTTCCCCTAAGCAGGTGATTATTTAACTCTGAATTTCAGATTTTTTTTTCCAGAAATTCAGATTCAGTCCAATTTCTCTAGTTCTTTGAAAAGATTTTCCATTCTCCCTCTACATATTTGCTCTATGTCAATATATCTTTTTGTATCTTGATACTATCAAGTCCCATCAAGTATTGACTGCATAAAGGACTTTGCAGGACAATCTCAGGCCAAATGAGTCTTTGAAAAAGCCATATCTCCCTGTCAGTCCAAAAGGGAAGACCAGAGTAAAATACCAAGTTATGAGTCAGAACCACTTTGTTATAGAAGCTATAGTAAACGAATCTAACCAGTCTGAATGTGCTTTCCCCATCCCTCACTAGATCCTTATGTGAACTAGGAAGGGGTCTGTCCCAGACATTTCTTCAAACTGTTTTCTTAGCCCACATTCAAGTCCTCTTAATCTGACCATTACCTTGGTAGCAGTTCTTCCTCATGTTCCTTCAAGGCCATTTCTTAAGTCTTCTGCACTCCCAAGTAGTATACCCATCATTAATCTATCTGAATCTGCCAAATTCCTAAAACAAATACAGATTTGAAAACTCACAGTGGTTGCTTCTAGATGTGATTGGAAATTTTCTTATACTGTATATTGGGGATATTCTCAAAGTTCTGGATGAGCTGAGGAATAGAGAAATTGTCTAGCCATCATTTCTAAATACTACTTTCTCTTTCACTGATCCAAGCCGACCCCCTGATATAATGGAGATGATGAAGTGGGATGGTGTAGCAACTTAACTGGTAGAGGAAAAATTCTGGGATAAATGAGACACATCACTTGAAGGTCTGCTCTGAAATGAAAAATATCATACCATAAATTACAAATTTACCATTAAAAAAAGCATAAACGGTTTACCATCTGATTGAGGGAACACTTCTCCCATTTGAAGGTCATTTTTTAGGGTGATAGGAGAACACTTTATCTTTCTCAAATTATGGAGTGTCTTTCCTCAAGAGTAACATTTGGCTCTCATTAATCCAGTGGGTAGATTGATAAAGACACATAATCGCAACTAGGTTTTAAAATGTTATGGTTATAGAATGGCTATTCCAGTCAACATCTCTTTTTGGCTTGTTAGTTCACCTATTAAAGAGTCTTGAACTTTTTGTTTAAGGCAGGGGTGTCAAACTGTCGGCCCATAGGCCGGATGCGTCTTCCGGAAGCCACGCCCACTCCATTGCAGGCACTGGCAAAACTGTCCTGATACGTCTCGTGATGTCACGTGACGTTGCAAGTTTGACATGTCTGGTTTAAGGTGATCTTTCTAAGGCAGAAATTGGCAACATGCTGCCCATGTGTACCACTGCACCTGTGAGCAACTTCTTATTCACCTGTAAACCGCCCTGCAGATATATTTTTCCTTCTTTAATTAGGGATATGTTCATGGGGTCACAGTCTGTGTGAAATGTTTCAGAATAGTTTTTACTTAAAAGTGCTGAATTAGAATTTATTCCCCTTTTTCCTTTTCCAGGTTAGTTATGCTTCATCCAGTCGGCTCTTGAGCAACAGGAACGAGTACAAATCTTTCTTGCGCACGATACCTAATGATGAGCACCAGGCCACTGCTATGGCTGACATTGTAGAGTACTTCCGATGGAATTGGGTGGGTACCATTGCAGCAGATGACAATTATGGCCGGCCAGGTATTGAAAAGTTCAGGGAAGAAACAGAGGAGAGAAACATCTGCATTGACTTCAGTGAACTCATTGCCCAGTACTTGCCTAAGGATCAGATCCAACAGGTGGTAAAAGTCATCCAGAATTCCACTGCCAAGGTGATTGTTGTGTTTTCCAGTGCACCTGACCTAGAACCATTGATCAAAGAGATTGTCACACGGAACATCACTGGCAGGATTTGGCTGGCAAGTGAAGCCTGGGCCAGCTCATCATTGATAGCTATGCCACAATTCTTTCATGTCATGGGGGGCACCATTGGATTTGCTCTTAAAGCAGGACAGATTCCTGGCTTTCGTAACTTTCTGCAGAAGGTAAACCCTAAGAAGTCTGCTAATAATGGATTTATCAAAGAGTTTTGGGAGGAAACGTTTAATTGCTACTTACCAGAAGGAAACAAAAATTTCCCAAATTTTTTCCACAAAGGCCCTGAACAAGGCACTAGAGCTGGAAATGATACAGGTTCATTCCGTCCCCCATGTACAGGACAGGAGAACATCACTAGTGTGGAAACACCATACATGGATTATACCCACCTGCGGATATCTTATAATGTATACTTGGCAGTATATTCCATTGCTCATGCTTTGCAGGATATATACACTTGCACTCCTGGGAAAGGGCTATTTGCCAATGGGTCATGTGCAGATATCAAGAAAGTTGAGGCGTGGCAGGTAAGATTTCTTTTACTATAATTATTCTACTACATAGTGTCTGATATAATTTGCAAAACTGTAGCAGATTCTCACCTAATTGACAGATTTGTGCTGCTATATGTATTAACATGCACAGTAGCCCTCTTCTAAATTTAAATTAAATACAATGTGAAAGATACCCAATCAGATTAATTTCCCTTGCATTTGGGGAGTACCCAATCTTCTTATGTTCTTTTCCTTATTTAAATGCCCCGTCTGTTTAATAATCATGAGGGCAATGGGACAGATTCAAATGCTCTTTGTGCTTTTTATAACCTGATGAGTTAATAATACATTCCAGAAAATCACCTTTCTCATCTTCAAATCAGCTACATGAAGCTGCTAAGTACTCCAAAAATCATTATTTGAGAGCAATGATAGCTTGTATACCAGGGATGTCAAACTTGCAACATTATGTGACGCGTTGCGACATATCGTGACTTTTTTTCCATTGTCGGCAATGGAGTGGGCGCGGTTTCGCCATGATGGATCCGGCCCATGGGCCAGCAGTTTGCCACCCCTGTTCTATACAGAGTTTCTTAGTCATGAACAGTGTTAAACTATGGCTATGTTTCAACTTGTTTGTGTTTGGGTGGAATTTCATTCTCTGAGAATAATCAGTTTAGCAGCTTGGGAGCATTTGATGACATTTTTTGTTGTGGTTTTGGTTCTTGAACAATCACCTTGAGTAATTTGGGCTTTCAACATGAAAGGCAAGCTGTTGATAATCAAGTGGGTCAACCCTATTCTCTTCATTTGGTTGAGAGCAAGGCTTAAAACAGTTCTTTTTATCCAGACACCAAAAAAGTTCCAGGCCAGGATGAAAAGATTTAAAGAGAGGATCAGGTGAGGGAGCTGGAAAGCAAAGAGAAAGAGGTAATATTTCCCAATGCAGCTCTTAAATCTAAACTCTCAATAGTCAATCTGCCTTTGTAATCAAGACAACACCCACAATCTGCTCAGTAACCTTAGCATTAGTGAACAATCTCATGTATACACATCAACTAACACACCTCCACAGTTGGACTAAGAACCTTGTTCCTTCAAATGCCTATATAATTCCACACACCACATTTAGTGAGCCTAGAAACATAAAACATACTGAGATTCATCCCCACATTACAAGCCATGTCATCCATCAACTCCTATCACTGGCATGTGTTATGCCACTGATTCTCACGATAGTTGGCTATCAGTCTTAATTCCAGATTGATTCTATGTGTAATTAATGTCAGTATTGCTCTGGAAGCATATTAATAAAACAAAAGAAGAGAAAAATGGTTGCTCTTGAAGCCTGTATTGAACTAAGTCCTGTTTGGTGAACTTTGTGATATTTGAAGGGGTGTAATGAACGTATTACACTGATGTGGTATTTGGGTTTTTTCTTGTGTTCATTGGTCAATGCAGTTATTACTGCCTTTTATGCAAACCGTAGGAGTCCAATGAAGAAGATTTAGGAGCTGTTCCATGCAACTAAGGCCAGACAGAACAGAGCTATACCTGTTTCTTCCATGTTCTGTGCTCTTTCAGAAGATCCTTTGACTACTAATGGACATGAAATATGAATGTAGTGGGAGAATATTAAAGTCTAAGATGAAGCAGAAAACCTTATTAGCATGATAGATTGTAGACTAAGGAGTAGGATAAGCTGCTTTTCCAGTTTATTTGGGGAAAATATCTGAGTGTGGTCCATGCACATGAGCATTGAGCAAGATAATGAGAAGCTGATATAGCAGAAGGAGGAATCTGAGGGCAAGGACCATTTGAAGGAAGGCTGACTGGTACACACGGCAGAGAGGAAGAGTAACAGTTTACAGTGATGGGAAAGTGTATGAACAGAGTAATCCATCTGTTACTAGAGCCAAATGAGTCAGTTTTGTTTCCTATATTATTTAATACTTGCATAAAATCTGTTAGGAGCTTTAGACTGGAGAATGCTACGATACCCAAATTATACCTAAGAGCTTTACTGCTCTTTGCTGCCAATGTCTAAGAAAGAAGTCATCACCCTAAATTCATGCATTTGTTTTATTATTGAATGCACTGCATTCCTTAATAAAAACAGAAAACTGGTTTATAACAATTTAAAAATAGAAAATATAAAAAAAATTGATATGTTTAAAGTTAAATCAAAAATTAAAACCACATCTTTTAAAAAATAAAAATGGCTAGATTGCTAAAATTAGACCAGGCAAAATGCAATGTTGTTAATCAATAGGAATCTGGACTCAAAGACTGGAGGTCTGCCATTCTGGAATATATTACATTGCTCCTGAATGAACAGATGCAGAGTGTCTGGGAGTGCTTCTTTATCATCAGGTGTTGGTGGGTTTCTGGGTAAAGTTGTAATGTGTTATACATTTGTGTTGTTGTGACAAGAGTTTCAGCTTCATTCCAATATAATTATTACCACCTGCTTTTCATGAAGCCATCCTTAAATTGTCCATATATCAGGCCCCAAAAACCAAGAATGATACAGGGAGTTATTTCTGAATAGTTTCTTTATTCATCACCTACAGAAACAATCTTGCCACACTAAAACAACTGTCTGCCTAAACTACGGTATATATGTACTCTATGAACTTCTAGGAAGGGCCCATCTTTGCCCTCTTCTTCCTGCCTACCAGACCTTCCAAGCTCTGCTCCCTCTTTGTTCTCTGGGAAGCAGCCGTTTCATCTTGGGATTCCAGACTACATTCCAGGATAATAAATTCCAACTGATGCAAAATACAAGAACCAGCTTAATAATGTAAAATAATACTAAGATCACATGAAAGCTGTTTTAACACCTGTGTTGGTTGTGAATTGCTTTCTAGGCACAGTGGAATAGGTTGTATGGTTGAATCAACCACTGAAATGCAGAAGGGAGGGGCTTTTTCCTTTTTCAGCCTTGGAATCCTTGGTTTGTAGAAAGAGGCCCAGAAGGCATCCTCCCTAAACCTTGGGATTTGTCTGATAATTTTTCAGAGGAGGCTTTAATCTGACAAGATTCCTGATTATGGAGGAGCACCAATAAAGAAACTATTCTGAGCAATCCATTGTGTTGTTCTTGTGCCTGATATGTTGCTATGAATCTTTAAAGGCTTGGCTTTTTCTAAATCTGGGCTTCAGGATCCCTACTGAGGTGAGTCTGGGGGAATTACTATGGAGGAAGCTGACAGCACCTGGGTGTACTGACTTATATCTACTGGACTGGAAATATTCCTTACAAAATGGAAAGTAAGGCAGATAGACTTTATGCCAATTTACATATTTTTAAGCACTTGACACAAATAGCACGGATTTAGACTAGAAGAGGGGCCCCAACATATTGGGGGAATTTTGCGAATTTTGATAACATGTATATTCTCCTACAGTAACAAGAACATTTGCCTGGTTATAATGACTATCATAATGACATGACTAGTTCCAAAACAAAAAGGTTCAGTGAAGAAGTTAACAGAAAAATGACTTGCCTAATATGCCAAATACAAGGCAGAAATGGGTATCTGAGCTCAAAATAGAAAACTGCTTTTCTAAACAAGTTCACAGAAGGAATAATTCAAAATAGCCATCTGTGAAATAGTATCCATTTCACAGATGATGAACTGCTGGTGCACACCTATCTTGAAAAAATACATACATACCACATCAATGAAGGCATTCCCATTTTGTTAAAATGTAAATGAATAGCCACCACAGAAGGAGCATAAGCAAGACATCACTCACATCATTTTTTGCTTCTTCAACTAGGTTGCACCATTCTGTTCTAGGAAAGGCCATCAATCAGAGTAACTCAGAGAATTTCTTCATCAAATCCAGGCGATTACATCTCATTCAGAAAATCATTAATCTGATGTTATAAATGAATGAGGACCAGTAAATTGAAACTCAGTCCTAAAAATAATTAATATGTTGCTAGATGATTTGCCTGTCCAAGAAAGATATATCAGCAGTCTGTTGCAGATGAATGCTAAAAAGGATCAGTCTGCAGTCTAGATGTAAGCAAAGATCCCCCTTGGTCACTGGGATCTCAAGTATCAACAACATGGTTCACCAGGTGAGACTGGTGTGCCTGTTGTGAACCCCTCCTTTCAAAGAAGAACCTAGTTAAACTTATCCATAGTGAAATAATTCCCAGATCAGATTACTTCTATCTACTGCATATGCTGCTATCTTTTAAGGCTGCTTAGAAACTAGCAATAATTCAAAACAGAAATGATAGACCACTAACTGGGATCAGTTCTTAGTGCTTTAAAAAAAACTCCTCTGGCTCCTTGCCTGTTAGGTACTGAGTTTTTGGAAAAATGGTAACTCCACGTATCTATTTGTATATATACCAAGATTGGCTTTAGAAGAGGCAAATGTCTCTTAAGGCAAACAGTTCCCTCAAGTGTAGAATTCTCATTTTGAAGAGGCTTGTCTGCCATCTTGACTGCCCCATGGAGCTGCCTGAGTGCCCAGTGGGTAGGAAAATGGGACCCATATATAATTTTTAAGCCTCAGAAATGTTTTTATGGAGAACATTTATTCAAGAACAATGATTTATTTATTTATTCAGATAAGGAACACATACAAATAGCTTATACCCCTTAATCTGTTTTCTTTTATGGCAGGCTTCATTTCTTAGCTAATTCTTCCTGCTTTTCTTTCTGAGTTCTTATCCTAAAACGTATTCAGCCATTTTCTTTTTCTCCTAATAGGATCACGGTCCATTACATCTTCATTCCTATTTTCTTTTTCCTTGCCTCTTGATTTAAAGTAACAATTTAATACCCCTTCATTTTTAATGCTGCTTATTGTTCTTCTTGTCTTATGCTGTATGACAGCTTGGAAATATTTTATATTGAAGGACTGGCTGCAACTATTGTTTATTTTTTTATGCAATGTTCAGCCCACTTTTTATTATTTAAAAAAAACCAATCAGTGGATGGGTCGCTCGTAAGGAAGCACTCATACTAGGTTCTGGCCCAAACAAGGCTTTGTGTTTGGGATGAGAA